TTTTGGGGGATTTGGGGTTTTTAGTGAATTTTGGGGTTTTGGGGGAATTTTGGGGTTTTGGAATTTTTGTGGATTTTGAGGTTTCTGGAGGATTTGGGGGTTTTGGAATTTTTGTGGATTTTGAGGTTTTTGGGGGGTTTTTGGGTTTTTTGTGGATTTTGGGAGGATTTTGAGGTTTTGGAGGATTTTGAGGTTTTTGGGGGGTTTTTGTGCTTTTGGGGGATTTTGGGAGGATTTTGGCGCTTTGGCTTTTCTGAAGGATTTGGGGGTTTCCGGAGAATTTTGGGGTTTGGGATTTTTTGTGGATTTTGGGAGGATTTGGGGGTTTTTGGAGGATTTTGGGAGGATTTCGGGCTTGTCCCCCCCAATAAATTCTGCTCTGGCACCGCTGCCACCCCCGGTGTCCCCAAATTTGTCACCTCCCCCCCAAAAAAAAAAGACAAAAAACCCCCCGGGAGCATCCAAAGGTTTTTATTCCCAAAAAATTCCCAAAAAAAGGGGCGGGGCCACCGCGGGAGGGGGAGGGGCGGCGAAGGGGGCGTGTCCCGAATTTGGGGAGGGGGCCGGGACCCCCCCTCAGATTTTCTTCCGCTGCGGCCGAACCCTCGGGAAGAGCTGGGGGGGGGAAGGGGAGGTGAGACCCCCGCCCCAAAAAATGAAAATCCCCCAAAAAAATAAAACAAATCCTAAAAAAAGCAAAAACCCAATCCCAAAAAAACCAAATCCCAAAAAAAAAACCCCATGAGACCCCTCCCCAAATGGATTTACCCCTATGGGACCCCTCCCCAAATGCATTTACCCCTATTTACCCCTATGGGACCCCTCCTCAAATGGATTGACCCCCATGGGACCCCTCCCCAAATGCATTTACCCCTATTTATCCCCTATGGGACCCCTCCCCAAATGAATTTACCCCTATGGGACCCCTCCCCAAATGGATTTACCCCTATGGGACCCCTCCCCAAATGGATTTACCCCTATGGGACCCCTCTCCAAATGGATTTACCCCCATGGGACCCCTCCCCAAATCGATTGACCCCCATGGGACCCCTCCCCAAATGGATTTATTCCCATGGGACCCCTCCCCAAATGGATTTACCCCTATGGGACCCCTCCCCAAATGGATTTATTCCCATGGGACCCCTCCCCAAATGGATTTATCCCCTATGGGACCCCTCCCCAAATGGATTGACCCCCATGGGACCCCTCCCCAAATGGATTTACCCCTATGGGACCCCTCCCCAGTGGATTTATCCCTATTTACCCCTATAGGACCCCTCCCCAAATGCATTTACCCCTATTTATCCCCTATGGGACCCCTCCCCAAATGCATTTACCCCCAATGGGACCCCTCCCCAATGGATTTACCCCTATGCGACCCCTCCCCAAATGCATTTACCCCCAATGGGACCCCTCCCCAATGGATTTACCCCTATGTGACCCCTCCCCAAATGGATTTACCCTTATTTACCCCTATGGGACCCCTCCCCAAATGGATTTACCCCTATTTACCCCTATGGGATCCCCCACCAATGCATTTACCCCCCATGGGACCCCTCCCCAAAGCCCCCCGCCCCCTCCGGACCCCCCCTCACCCCGAAGTAGTTGCGGGGGACGTATCCCTCGTGGCCGTAGAGGGACCCCCACCACCAGTCCAGCTCCTCGGGGGGCTGCCGGCGCAGCACGGTCACCGGCTCGCCCTCGCGGAACGAGAGCTCGTCGCCGAACTCGGCGCTGTAATCCCAGAGCGCGTACACCACGCCGCTGTTCAGCACGCCCATGCCCTGCTCCACCTCTGCGGGACACCCCAAAATTCGGATTGGCACCCCGAAACTGCCCCGAGACCCCCAAACTCACCTGGTACCCAAAAACATCAACAGACCTCAAATATCCCCAAAATATTCCCACCCGACACCACGCCGCTGTTCAGCACGCCCATGCCCTGCTCCACCTCTGCGGGACACCCCGAAATTCGGATTGGCACCCCGAAACTGCCCCGAGACCCCCAAACTCACCTGGTACCCAAGAACATCAACAGACCTCAAATATCCCCAAAATATTCCCACCCGACACCACGCCGCTGTTCAGCACGCCCATGTCCTGTTCCACCTCTGCGGGACACCCCCAAATCCGGATTGGCACCCCCAAATCCGGATTGGCACCCCCAAATCCGGATTGGCACCCCGAAACTGCCCCGAGACCCCCAAACTCACCTGGTACCAGTGCATTGACAGAAATCCCAAAATATCCCCAAATATTCCCACCCGACACCACGCCGCTGTTCAGCACGCCCATGCCCTGCTCCACCTCTGCGGGACACCCCAAAATCCGGATTGGCACCCCGAAACTGCCCCGAGACCCCCAAACTCACCTGGTACCAGCGCATTGGACAGAAATCCCAAAATATCCCCA